ATGTTCGGCATGAATTACAAAGATCCACCTGATCCAGCTAACAAAAATCTATACGAAGATGATCTGGAAGCTGATATTGGAGCTAAACGAAGAGGAAGAAGAGCTGTGCACAAGGAATTTTCTCCTTACTCAGCGATTAAACCACTGCGATCGAAAGAAAAAATGGAAGCTACAGCTAATCGATTAAGGAAGAAAAGAAATATCTGAATTCGAAATCAATTGCTGATGGATCCAAAGTTGTTCTTCGAGCTGGAATACGTGAAGTAATCAAGTCGAATTATGGGAAAGAAAACAATGATCCGCAATTTATAAAATCAGAACTGGATGCGTTTGATAAGGTGATTGCCGAACAGAAAAGAATGGATGAAGAAAAAGGATTTGTGTTGCTCCAAGTAACTTCAGATATGGTTAAAGGATTCAATTCTTCTAAGAATTCGGTGGTTGGGTTATCTCCTTCGCCTCCTGTAATTCAAGCGAGCATGGAAACGAAAGCTGGCACTGTAACTGGGTCAAACATTGGAATTTCAATTGGAACGAAGATTGAAAAAGGAAATTTGGTTGATGAGTCGAAATATACCAAGGGCTTCATTGCTTCGAAGATAATGAAGACTGGTTCGTCTTCTTCAGGCCCTGGTTCCATAATTGAAACAAATGATGGGAAGGGCATTTTGGGAAAATTCCCTGTTTCGCAAGATGTTCCAGTTATAACAGGTAATCCTTTGGTCTTTGAAGCTAATCCTATTGCTCCAATTAGTTGTCTTACTAATTGTAATGATGAAGATATGAAAGATTCTATTAATGAGAATGGAATTTGGAAGTTGATCCTGGAAATAATATGAAGAAGGAGCAGGGAGCTAATTTTTGAACATGGATTTTACTAAACCTGTTATATCCCCTGCCGCTAAATTGGTTAGTGATTACAATAAAAAATCTTATGCTCGTATGGTTGAATCAACAATTACTGCAGTGGATCTTAATATTAAAGTAATTCCAAAAGTTGATGGGAAACCTAGTGGGAAAGTTGAGTTACCTTATGCAGATTTAATGTTGGGTGGTGCTCCTTATCATGCTACTTTGTATGGATTTTTTGTGGGGAAAAAGCTTGCTTTCCCAACAGTTAATCATTTTTCTTTTAAGATGTGGAAGATATATGGGCTGAAGGATATAATGGTGAATGATGAGGGATTTTTTTTCTTCAAGTTTGATTCAAAAGAAGGAATGATGAGTGTGCTGGAGGGAGGTCCATGGTTGATTAACAATGTCCCAATGTTTGTTCAAAGATGGAGGCCAGGTCTAGTTTTGAGTAAACCGCAAATTAATTCAGTCCCTGTTTGGGTTAAAGTGTTTAATGTTCCGTTGGAGTATTGGAATAGCAAAGGAATTACATTGATTGCTAATGAGATTGGAAAACCAATTGCTATGGATAAAATAACTCAAAAAATGTGTAATGAGCATTGGGGAAGGCCAGCATTCATGCGATTTCTTGTGGAAATGTCAGCAGAAACAGATTGGATGAAAGAATTAAGTGTGGTCTCAATTGATTTTGGGACAGGAGAAAAAGTTGAATCAAAGTGCAGGATAGAGTATGCATGGAGACCTGATATTTGTAATCACTGCAAAGTTTATGGGCATAAAAATAGCAATTGTGGGATTCTAAATGGGCAGAAAACTGATTATGTTGCTGATGTTGCTGTTAACAGAGAAGAAAATGGTAAAAAAGAGAAAGGGGAAGATGATGGATTCAAGCTAGTAACAAAGAAAAGCAATAAAGGGCAGAAATTCAATGCTGGTGTGGTTATAAATGAAGAAGGGAAGGTGGATTTAATTAAATCTTTGGAGAAGAGCTCGAAACCTGTTAATGAAGATATGGATGTTAGTAATGAAGATGCAAATTCAAGAGATGTGGATAATCAAGAAATGGGAAAAAATGAAAAAGTTAAAGAACAAGAAAGTCAAGAAGAAGTACAAAAAGAAGGCAAAAGCAATAAAGGGGCAGAAAATCGGAATAAGGGGAGTAATTATTCGAAATTTGCTGTGGGCAATCTAAAAAAAGATGGGAAAGAAAAAGGGGTATTTCAGTCAAAAGATGATAAAAATGGGAAAAAAAATGGGACAGGGGTGTTTATTCCAAAAGAAAAATTAGGAGCAAGAGTGAAGAATGTAATTGATAATTTCAATGCCAAGAGAGATGGAATGCAGGGGAAAAAAGAAGAAAATCAGAAAAAAGTATATGTCCCTAAGAAGCAAGTGGAGTTTAAAGTTAGCACTAACTTTGATAATATAGGTTCTACTTCAGGGAAAGATGATCAAGATGCAATTATTACACAAAACCCTTTTGATGTTCTTGCTGATTTGGGTTTAAGAGATATGTCTTATCTTGATGAGATGGATCCGGAGGTTTTAACTGGAGGTGACCAGGAGATAAACACCGAAAATGAAAGTGTTGACCAATGATGATGAATATAGGGTGTTGGAATGTTAGGGGTACCAATTTAAGGCCGAAGCAGGAGGAAATAAAGAATGTGATTAAAAGTAATAAGCTTTCTTTGTTTGCTATTCTTGAATCTCAGGTGAGATTTAATAAATTGCAAATGACATGCAATAAAGTTTTTGGGAAATGGATGTGGATTTCGAACCAAGATAAATGTCCTAAAGGCACTCGTATTATAATTGGGTGGGATCCGGATGAAGTTGTTGTCATGCCGTTGGATGCTAATAATCAAGTGATGCATTGTCAAATTCTCTTCATAAAAGATAACAAGAGGATTTTTTGTTCTTTTGTCTATGCTTGTAATTACTACATGGATAGGAGAAAATTATGGGATTCGTTGGAAAAACACAAATGTTTGGTTGACAATTCACCTTGGTTGATTGTTGGGGATTTCAATGTTACTAGAGATCTAATTGATTCTACAGCTGGTAATACCAAATTTTCGAGGGTATGGTGGAATTCAATGAATGCATTAATCGAATTGAAGTGCAAGACATTAACAGCAATGGCCTGCATTTTACCTGGAATCAAAGACCAAGAGGGGTTAATGGAATTCTGAAGAAATTGGATCGTGTGATGGGTAATTTCAAATTTGTTGATGAGTATCCTAATGTTTTTGCTAAATTCCAGCCTTACAGAAATTCGGATCACAGTCCTATGATAATAAAATTCCCGCTGAAAAAGAAGTTTAGAATTCGTCCTTTCAAATTTGTAAATTCTCTTACTTTGTTGGATGAGTTTCTTCCTGTTGTTGCTAAGGTGTGGAATACCAATATTGAGGGGTATGGTATGTTCAGATTGTGCCAAAAGCTTAAATTGCTGAAAAAACCTCTTCGTAAGCTTTTGATGTTGCAAGGGAACTATGCTGAAAAAATTGGTAAATGCAGGGAGGAACTTGGTAGAATTCAGATTGAATTAGATAATGATCCGTTTAATGAAGAATTGAGAACTGAAGAGGGTCATTATCTTCAATCGTTTTTGAATGTGAGCAGGGAAGAAGAATGTTTTTTAAAGCAAAGAGCGAAGGTTCAGTGGCTTAAAGAGGGGGATTCTAATACTGCTTATTTCACAAAGTTGTTAAGGGGAAAATAAACAGGAATAGAATTGAAACTATTCTTGATGATAGTAATAAATGGAAAGAAGGAGATGAGGCGTTGAAAGTAATTGTTAATTACTTTAGCAATTTTCTTGGTGTTGAAAGAAATGTTGATTCCATTTATTCCCCTGATACCCTTTTTTCTAAAAAGCTTGATGCTCACCAGGCTTTTGATATGGTTAGAGAAGTGACTTGTGAGGAAATTAAGGCGGCTCTTTTTGATATTGATGATGACAAAGCTCCAGGACCTGATGGGTATTCTGCGAAATTTTTAAGAAGGCTTGGATGATTGTGGGGGAAGATTTCTGCATTGCTGTGAAAGAATTTTTTCAATCAAAAAAATCCTTAAGGAGATAAATGCGACTGCTATAGCCTTAATTCCTAAAGTGCAGACACCTGGGAAAGTTGCTGATTACAGGCCTATCTCCTGCTGTAATGTAGTGTATAAATGCATTAGCAAGGTTATTGTTAATCGGATTCGGGATTATCTTGGGGTTCTGGTTTCAGAAAATCAATCAGCTTTTATCAAAGGGAGATCTATTTTGGATAATGTCTTGCTTTCTCAAGAACTTGTTAGGGGATATCATATTGGCAGGGGATTTGCTCGTTGTGCTATGAAAATAGACATCCAAAAAGCCTATGATACCGTTAACTGGAAATTTCTCCAAAATGTCTTGAAAGAATTTGGATTTCACAATTCTATGATTTCTTGGATCATGAATTGTGTTTCTACTTCTTCATTTATGATAAATATCAATGGAAACTTTCATGGATTTTTCCAAGGAAAAAGAGGGCTTCGTCAGGGATGTCCTTTATCTCCTTACTTGTTTACTCTAGTCATGGAGGTTTTTAATCTTATGCTAAAAAGATGTATCAGGGGAGATAATGGATTTACATATCACTGGAGATGCAAAAAACAAGAGATTACGCATTTGTGTTTTGCTGATGATCTGATGGTTTTCTGTCATGGTAATACCGGATCTATAAAAGTCATCAAGAAGGCGTTAGAAGAGTTTGCGAGTACAGCGGGCTTAATTCCAAATCTTTCTAAAAGCCATATCTTTTTCGGTAATGTTAAGATGCCATTTAAAAAAGCTATTCTTGATATTTTGCCATTTGTTGAAGGAAAATTTCCCATGAAATACCTTGGTGTTCCTCTTATTTGTACGAGATTATTCAAAAGAGATTGTAAAGTGCTGGTGGAAAAAGTGAAGTCAAGAGTGAATAATTGGAAAAACAAATCGCTTTCGTATGCTGGAAGACTTCAATTGTTGAGAGCTGTGATTTCTTCTCTTCCTGTTTATTGGGCTTCGGTTATGTTATTACCCAAGTCCATAACAAATGAAATTGAGAAAAGCATGAGGAATTTCTTATGGAGTAGTGGGGATAGTAGAAAAGGGGTTGCGAAAGTTTCATGGAATGAGATTTGTAAACCAGAAAAATATGGTGGTCTTGGTATTATAAATCTAAATAAGTGGAATATAGCTCTTCTTTCTAGCAGGATTTGGAAGATCATAAGTGGTCAAAATTCCTTGTGGGTCAAATGGGTAAATGCTTATTTATTAGAAGGAAGGAGTATTTGGGATGTGAGATTTAAAGACAAAATGAGCTGGAGCTGGAGGAATATATTGAAAATCAGGACTCATTTGCGGGATTTTTTTATTGTTCGATTAGGAAATGGTGAAGACACATTTATGTGGTTTGACAATTGGCATCAGTTAGGCCCATTGAGTTATGTTTTGACGCCTAGAGAAATCACTAATGCTGGATATCGAATTACAGATAAAGTTAATGAGGTGATTTCTAATGAGGAATGGTATTGGCCTGCTGATTGGATTCGTATAATTCCTCAACTTGCTGAGTTTCAGATTCCTAGACTTGTCAGAGGAAAAAAAGATGCTGTTTTGTGGTTAAATGAAAAAAGACAACCAATTCCTTTTGTTGTTAATCAGGTCACTAAATCCTTTTCTGTTCAAGAGTTGAATGTGGGTTGGTATGATCTTGTCTGGTTCCAACAAAGAGTTCCTAGTCACTGTTTTATCTTATGGTTGGCCATCCTTGGAAGACTTAGAACTCAAGACAGAATGAAAAAATGGAAGGTTGGGAGTATTTTCAGTTGTGCTTTTTGTAATAAGCAAGGAGATTCTCATTGTCATCTTTTCTTTGAATGTAAATTTCCGTTGGAAGTTTGGAATAAAATAAAAAAGAAGCTGAATATAATTCATAAGGATGGTAATTGGTTTGAAGTTATTCAAGAATTTCAAGTTACTCTTAAAAAGAAGAACATTGAGAATTTTATTAAGAAGTGTGCGCTTGCTGCTACTGTTTATCATATTTGGAGAGAACGGAATAAAAGATTGTTTGGGAAGGAAATAATTCTATTGAATTTGTGGTTCATAGAATTATGGAAGATATTAGAGTGAAGTTATTTGGACTCAGATATGGTTATTTGGGGCTGAATGCTGAAATTTGTAAGAGTTGGAATATTCCAATTAAAAAAATCAATGGATTTGATGGGGATTGATAAAAACAGCATATTGGGGTTTGAGGTGTGTTGGCAGATGTGCAGCTATGGCATAAGAATAAGGAAAATAAGGAAAGATTTGAATAAAAGCATGAAATTCATTAGTTGGCTTGAAGGGTATTTTTGTCATTTCCGGAAATTAAGCAATTTGAGAAGGATTTTTGATTGTGTGCTGTTTGCTAATTTATTTGGCTTTGTGGTTCGAATAGAGGATTGGAGGGAGAAAAAGCTAGAGAGTAAAAATTGTCGGGCTTGGTTTTTTATTCAAGGGATGTTTGTTAATAGTGAAGATAAAGGAAAGATGGATAATTTTGTGTTCCAGGTAGTTAATCGCAGGGTTGTTTGGATGGAAAATAATATACTTTATCATGATTGTTATTATTTGGAGGATGTTATAAAGGAATTGGGGTATTTTGGGCACAGTTTAATTGTTGGTGGAGATGGGTACCGGAGGGTGCCGGTTGTGGATAGGAGTAAGGGTAATATTGGAAATTTTAATTGGGTTGAAGATTTATTGAATTTTGGATGCTTTATCATTCATGGAAGAAGATGGGGTGAAGGGCATAATTGGAATTTTGAGAATTGGAGGATTTTTATTGATTATTTTAATGGGTTTTGTCATTATGTTTGTAAAGGAATTGACGGTCTTGGGATTTTTCTCACTTTTTCCCGTAAAAGTGATTTGCATCTCGGTTTGATCCCGAGTTTCATAAGAATAAATTCTTATGAAGTGGTTTTTACGAATATGCATATGGGTTGTATCCCCATTAGTTGTGATTCTTGTCCTTGGAAACGAGGATTAGAAAATAAAAGAATTGATGGAAGGATATTTAATTATATCCTTAATTTTTTCGGCAATTTATTGCTAGAGGGTTCAATTCCCGAAAATAGTCGGTTCAATCCTATTCATTTAGGATTCTCCACAATTGTGGGTGCCACTACTGGTTCGATCAGTAAGTGGTGGGATATTCACCCGTTAATAACCAGGCTTGGGTACGTCGTCCTTAGACTGTACCACCTATTTTTTGGCATTTTTGGTTAATAAAATGTCACCTTACATCCGGTTCAAACCCGGAATTTTTAGTCGGTTGGTTTTCTTTCTTTTTCCATAAAAAGAATCTAAATCTTGGTTCAATTCCAAGTGATATAGTCAAGTGGTTTGCCCCTTTTTTCCAAAAAAGGATGATTCTTTCCGGTTCAAATCCGGAGCTTTTAGTTGTGTGGGTTTCTTTCTTTGTCCATAAAAAGAATTTAAATCTTGGTTCAATTCCAAGTAGTCTAGTCAAGTGGTTGGCCCCTTTTTTCCAAAAAAGGATGAATTTATCCGGTTCAATTCCGGGAAT